GGGCTAGAGAGTTTAGGATGAAAACATCGGCTCTCCAGAGATGAAACAACAAGGAACAGGGATGTGTTGAGTCGGGACAGTGTGGGAACAAAGAAATTCGGTGGGACAGTTGCCAAACAGGCTGTGTTATAAATAAAGAAATTACAGCAGAAAGGTGCTGCAGTCTTGTACCGTCTTTGTGTGTGTCTTTGTCTCTTTGTCTCTGTGTTCATTTCTCGTCCCTAGAAACGGGCCACATCACCATCATCTGCCTGAAAACACAAAGACCTCAAAACACTTAACTCCTCTATTCTGTTCCCTCCCTATCTTCCATGCTCGTGTGGTCTATTATTTGTTTTTAAGCCCCTCTCAAATTGTTTGACTTTCCCTTTATAGTCAGCAAAATTTGTAATTAGATTTTTGTAATTAGATTTGTAATTAGATTTACCAATCTGTTTGCTAATCTATTTCATCACCATTGCTCTTTGTATTCCACTTCTTTATTTGAGGTTCAATTTGCTTCTTACAGAAGTACATTCTTTAGTAGTTATTTTAGTGAGAATGTATAAATAGCAAACTGTCTGAGATTTTCTCTGAAAATATCTTTATTTTATCTTCACTTCCTAAATAAAAATTCAACTATGATTCTTAGTTGGTATTATTATTCCATTTTCTGCTGGAGTCTGTTGATACTGATGAGAAGTATTCTATCAGTCTGTCATTTCCCTGTAGGTAATGTCTTTTTTCTGGTTGCCTTTAAAATTTTCTTTGTCTTTGATGATCTGCAGTTTAACCATGATTTGGCTAAGTGTAGATTTATTTTAATTTATCTTGCCCAAGCTAAGTGTGCTACTTTAATTTGGAAATTCTTATCTTTCCTTAATTATGAAAAACTGATAGTCCTTATATCTTAGAATATTTCCTCTGCCCCATTCTATTTCTTGTGGTACTCCTATTTTGGCAGATGCCATAGCTTCTTATTCTGTCCATAATTTCTCTTTACTGTTTTATCACAATCTCCTCTTCTTTATTTCTCTGTGCTGTTAGATTGCTACAGTCTGGGTGATTTCCGCAGACCTACCATCCAGTTAACAAGTACTTTCTTTGACTATGCAAATTTGTTGTTTATCCTTCTACCCTCATTATTAAATAACAAGTCTGAAGTGTTCTTGGGAGTAAAGGGGAAAAATTTATCATCCTTCCTTTTTTCTAAAATGCATACAGTTGACCCTTGAAGAACACAGGTGTTAGGGGCACTGACTCCCCATGCAGTCAAAAATCCAAGTATAACTTTTGACTCCCCCGAAACTTTACTAATAGCCTACGGTTGACCAGAAGCCTTACTGGTAACAGTCAATTAACACACATTTGTATATGTATTATATAGTGTATTCTTACAATAAAGTAAGCTGGAGAAAAGAAAATGTTATTAAGAAAATCATAAGGAAGAAAAAATACACTTTTACAGTACAGTGCTGTATTTATTAATACCACAAGTTTGTGTTGTATGTTTATAAGATGAATTGTTGGAAATGGTAGGCAGCAGCAGCTGAAGACTTTAATCTATAGTACATATCAAGCAATTTGACTTTTTCTTGTAATGCCCTGACTTTTGTCTGCTTCTTGGGAGCACTTCCAGCATCACTAGTGGCACTTTGTATGGGTCCCATAGTGTTATTCAAAGTTTATGGTATTGCACTAAACACAATGGAAAATACACGAGAACTATGAGCGATCGCTTTCATTGCCATACACGATTTACTGGAGAGACAAACTGTTTACGTGAAGATTAGTGTCACGTGGTGTTTTCAGCAGATACTCACAACACTTGAGCTCACTGCAATAGCAACAGGAGGTGTCTACAAAATCATTACAGTAGTATAGTATGTACTCGTTAATTTTATGCAGTTAGGATGTAATACTACATATTAACATTTGTTTACATTTCTCTTAACTGAGAATGGTGTAATGTATGGTCTAAGTGTATGTGTTCATTGGTTTTATACCTATATATATTTTATGGTAGTAAATAATAAAATAGACTAGTATCTACACATATTTTATGCATTCATGACATAGACCTAACTTTTTCTTAATATTTTCTATATTTTTGGGCTATGAAATTTGTCTTCAAGGTTGTTCAAACTGTTGCAAATCTCCTCAAATTTTCCAATATATTTATTGAAAAAAATCCATGTACAAGTGAACCCATACAGTTTAAACCCATGTTGTTCAAGAGTCACCTGTAATAATTCAGAGAAATTTGCTAAGAGTTGGGGGAGGGCAGTAATAATATACACACATATATAAATATAACATATAACTGATATATATCATACACACATACACATATAGTTATATAACTTAACTACGGGGATACTTTTTGAGAAATGCATCATTAGGTGATTTCGTCATGCGAATATCATAGAGTGTACTTAGGCAAATCTAAATGGTATGGCCTACTACACACCTAGGCTATATGGTATGGCCTATTGCTCCTAGGCCTACTATATACCTAGGCTACAAACCTGTACATCATGTTATTGAACTGAATACTGTAGGCAACTGTAACACAATAGTAAGTATTTGTGTATCTAAACATATTTAAACATAGAAAAGGTACAGTAAAAATATGGTATTATACTCTTATGAGACCACTGTCATATTTGTGGTCTGTCATTGACTAAAACGTCATTATGCAGCACATGACTGTTATCATGTACTTTACATAATTGTATGTGCTATACTTTTATATGACTGGCTGTACAGTGGGTTTGTATAAACCAGCATCACCACAAACACATAATGCGTTGCACTACAAGGTTATAACAGCTATGATGTCACTAGGTAATAGGAATTTTTCAGCTCCATTATAATCGTGTGGGACCACTGTGGCATATTCAGTCTGGCATTGACTGAAACATTATGCGGCACATGACTGTATCTCTTAAACGTATAAACTGAAGAGTTGAAACAAATCATCCCATATTTGGCCAATATGGAATCTAAGTAGAAGGAAGACATAGAAGCAATTTTTTCTTACTTTTATAACTACAGATAGATTTAAATCTAATGTTAAGTCTCTGTTCACATAGTACATGGTTCAAATATACAGAGAAACTACATGTAGATATCTGAAGGAAGAATATTCCATGTGGAGAAAACCACAAATGCAATGACTCTGTGGCAGGAAAGGGCTAAGCGTGATGACAAATAGCAAGAAAGTAAGAGTAACTAAAGTAATGTAAAAGAAGAGTAGTAGAAAATAAGGCAAAGGAGGTGGTCAGGTACTAGATGGATGTATGGCTTTAAAAATCATGATAAGGGTTTTGGATTTTATCCTAAATGTGAAGGAAAGCACCAAAATGTCCTTGAAAATGTTATTTAAATTTTACATTATGTTTTGTACAATATTTTAAAAGTGGGAGTTGTTAATAGAGGTTATGACCTCACTTGGAACTTAAATGACTTCATAAGTCACATTTTCTCATTTATTTGGAATTTAAGTTATTTCATAAGAGTCAGGCTTTCTCATTTTTATGACATGTATAAGATGACATTAGGATGAACAATGTAATGATTACAAATGATATAATCTGAGGATCCTAGGTAAAATTCTCCTGTTTTGAGACTTCTATATGTGAGATATACACATTACAGAGTACGTAAAACATACATGTACAGTCCAATGAATAACTAGACTGAATCATGTAGGTCAAAAAATAGAATATTGCCAGCACCTCAGAAACCCCTGCTATCTGACTTTTTTAAAAAGAGCTTACTTAGGACTGTAATATGTGATAATTATCCACTTAAATGTCAACTGAAATCATGTGACCAATCTTTTTATGGGCAAAAGGAATGTTCCCTTAAGTCCATATTTAATTTCAAAATGGAAATTGAGTACATATCAACTTAAAATCTATTCATATTTCGGAATAGAGATGTGCAATCTCTAAGGCATTAATTTTAATTAAAAAAAGATAGGTATATAAAACCCAGAAGTATGGAACTTGAAGAAAATGTACATACTATTATACGTTTTTGTGAAAGCAAACCTAATAGTAATAGCTTTAAGATAAAAAGCATTTGATTAAAGTAAAATCAAAGATATTCAAAAGTTTAAGATCTCATTATATGTTTCATTATAACAAATTAGTTAAAATGAGCAGAATTCTTTGTTTCTGTGTAGCTTCTAGTATATGCTTAGCACTCAATGAATGTTAAACAGTAAAATATGAATTAGGCTAATCACCACATATCTAAAACACACTTTATTAAATTTGAGCCTATTTAAATTTTATATTATAGAAACTGACATGTCACTGATTCATGACCTTTCTCAACAGAAAAAAATGTAACCTATGAAATTGAGATTTGTGGTTTTAAATAAATATTTTAGCAACAAACCACCAGAGAACAACAAATATGTATGGTCAAAAACTAACAATATTTTAAAATAAAGAATTTCATATTAAAATTAGGTTGTTCTCTGTGGAAAATTCTACAAACATTTTGTAAATGCATTTGAAATAGTAAAGAAAAAGAAGGGAATGAAATATAATAAATAAAGGCAAGCTATATAAAGATACACGAAATGTGGATAAAACTAAATGGACAACATGGATAAAAATAACATTTAGAAGTATCACTCTTAAACTGTAGTGCGGCAGTACCTGAGTTATGCTCTCTTTAATTTATGCACATGATGGATAGCTTGTTAAGGGGCATATCTGTAACCATTATAATTGATAGTAGCTGAAGGCAGTCAAGCCATAATTTCTATTTAATGGATGAGATAAGAAGGGAATAAAGTCTGCAGCAGCATTTTAAAATAAGTGCCTAGAAAGTTTACATTTATGTCCAAAATAATATCTACATTCTAGCCTTTTCTATGTTAAATTCTTTGAGAGAAGAGAAAAATCAGCTGCAAAAAGATTCATATATTATTAAATCAAAATCTTGATTTAACCAATAACTAGAAAAATCTTACAATAAGTAGAAAAGAATGTTCAACTAACCATTTGATGGTCCATTTCTGTGCTCTTGTTCTTCAGAGCTTGTGGGAGAAGCAAATGGGCTCATTTGACAAGTTCCAGTTGTTGGAGAGTAAGGTATAACACTTTGCTTCTTTGTGATTTTTGAAGAATCAAATGACTGGAAATAACAATTTGGGACAGAAATATTTATGTTTAGTTACAGATCTCTGAAAATACACATCTTTAAAAACTCATGGCTAGGCATGGTGGCTCACGCCTGTAATCCTAGCACTCTGGGAGGCCGAGGCAGGAGGATTGCTAGAGCTCAGGAGTTCGAGACCAGCCTGACCAAACCCTGTCCCTACCAAAAATAGAGAAATTAGCAGGGCGTAGTCCCAGCTACTCAGGAGTCTGAGGCAGGAGGATCGCTTGAGCCCAGGAGTTTGAGGTTGCAGTGAGCTATGATGACACCACTGCACTCTACCTGGGGGGACAGAGAAACACTCTGTCTCAAAAAAAACAAAAAAAAGACCTCAGCAAAATTCAAGCCAACACTCATTTCCTTGTTCTTTCTTTTCAGATTTCAAATATACTCAATTTGCACTGTCAAAGTGAACATTTCTTTCAAATTAGGTAGATAGTTCAGGTCTCTACAACAATTAGGGTATCTCAACTTGATGTTTATGAAATCTTAACATTAAAGGGTTACTACCTTCTGAGATGGTATTTCCAAACATTAGAGATGGCTGACTCTCCCAATCACATCCCGACTTTTGTTTTCAGCTGAACCTGAAGTATAATTATGGGACTAGGACAGGAAAAAAGAGAGAGGCCTATTACTAAGACCCACAAGGATAGCCTAGGAAGGATCAGTGCTGTTCTAAACCTTCACAAAATGCTTTGACATAGTATCTTGAATAATGATGAAAATAATGTCCAAACAATTGAGTCTTGCATTTAAGGCCTTTGAGAGTTGGCCTGTCCTACACAATCCACCTCTGTAGCTTCCTCCTTTGTATTCCCAAAGGTGTTGTGCAAACAAACCTCTTATTACAGGTAATATTTTAATAATTTTTTACTTTTCTGTCTGCCCCATTAAAATTTGTACCCCAAAATCATTTTTTCATCTTTGTACCCTAGAGAACTAAAAAACGTATAAAGAATGAATGACTTAAAAGGAACAGTCTAGTAAACTTGGCCATGCCACTCTACTCAGGATATACTCATTTGTTCATCAGTTCATTCATCCAATATTCACTGACACCTATAGTTTCAGCCACTAGGCTATGCACATTTGGGCCTCAAATCATTCTGTGATTTCAGCTTGGAATGTTCTCTTTCTTATCTTCCCCAAGACCTAGTCTTTCTTTAATATAACAAATTATTCTGGCCTCAAGGAGTAGATTCTACCAAAAGTTAGCAGAAATCTTAAGTTAGTAGTGTGCTACAGAAATTCAGAGAAGAGAGGAAATCAAAGCGGGCTGCAGTAATCTGTCACAGAAAATAAAAGGGATGAAAAATCTGAAATCCAGAGTGGAATAAACAGCACAGGATGGATATGGGGGATGAAGGAAAGGTCTGAAGGGTCATATGTTGCCAACACATTATAGAACTAAACTACAGCTTGGTAGTTGACTTGAAATAGTTACAGAATTCTGCATTGTCAATTATCCTTTATTTTTAAGACATCTATGGCAGAAATAGTGGCTGTGTCACTTTTATCAATAATCTTGGTATTAGTTCCAGAATCTATAACATCAAAAATATTTTTTATAGTTAAATGATAAATATTTCTTTGTATTGGGGTACAAAAAGTATTCTTTATATAGCCACAGTAGTAGCCACAAATGTAACTAATATCTTTAAAAAAAATCAAACTATAATATCAGGTTATAACCCTAAAGCAATCTTTTTTATAAGGTGAAAGGGTTTTAAGTCTCTTTATCAGGTGGTTACTATTACCTCTCCATCTTGAGTTTTCACCTGCTTATATGTATTCAGTCATAAACTATGACATTTATCCAATCCCTACTCTACTTTTCCAAGAATTTATTGCCTAGAACTATTTCACTGTGTATGTACAAGAAATGAAAGTTGCTACCCTAATGTACATTTATGTCAATCTGTTTTCCTATTTTCTTCAAAACATTATTTTATCCAATTGCCAAATGTCTAAACATTGCAATTGTAGATCATACATTTCTCCTTGAAAACAATTTTCTAGCTTTCAGAAAATAACCGTGTGTGTGTGTGTGTGTGTGTGTGTGTGTGTGTGTGTGTGTGTGTGTATTTGGCGTCCCTTTAAAAATACTGAGGCTTCTCTCCTTTTTTTTGGTCATTTATGTAGGTTAAAAGGAAAATATCTTTCTACAACACTATACATAGAAGGAAAACTGAAAAGTTACCTTTCTCTATTATTCCATTAAATATTCTTAAGTAAATAATGTATTTCTATATATTTGCCCTACAGGTACACACAAAGGCATAGCCTTACATCCCTAAATTTTCTTTCCCTCAAGATTTTACTTTCAAGGTCTTCTAACTTTCAATCTTTGAAGATTAAAAGTGATCCTAGAATCCATCTAAGAATTTGCATTCTGCCATAACCCAAACTTTGAAGGTCTTAGCCTATTCATGAATCTCCCACAACAGGAAGAATTAAGAAAAATGGGATTTGAGAGAAGACTGAGCTACTAATTGAGAAGTCAGCACTCTCCAATCAGCAAGGATGAGTGCTACCTAGCAGACCCTTTAGAAAAACAGAGGAAGAAAAAGTGAGAAGAGAGGAATAGATTTGGCTAGGAAAAAGAAAGGATTCAGGATGTAAACAAAACGTTAAAAAAAAAATAGATGTCACAACCACTTCTTTAATAATTTACAACTGCTTCTAATATTTACTGACTCAGAGATATTTAACACTGCTACTAAACAAAAAAAATGCCACATTCTAAGATTCTATGATCAATCTAAATGCCACTGTACTTTTTGTAAGGAGGTCAAACCTTGAACATTAGCAAAACTAAAATTTGGGCATTGATTTTCTGCCTAAAAAAAAAATGAATGTTCTTTCTATAATTTCAAATAGATATGACATTCTCCTTCCGTATCTCTCACAAATTGTGGCTTGCTTCTTCACCTTGTTTAAAGCATATTCTACCAAAAAGATGCCTGCATTTTATTGATTATTTACCTGTTATAAACAGTCTAGAAAGTACTAAGTAAGGGTTCTTTTAGGATGAAATATGGGATATAAAGGATCTGTTATTATTATTATAAACTACTAGCCTATGCTGAAATATTTAAAACAGATTATCGTAGGTATTCGGCCAACCAGAAACAAAAGGGCAGCCAAAAGGAGATAATTCTTTATAAACTTATACTGGTTAGTTAGGTTATTGGAATATCCCACCTAAGATATAATTATTATGTACTACTAGTACTAATTATGGAATTTACATTAGAAAACTTTAAATACTAGCTGCCCTCAGAGACTTTTCACAATTTGGGCCTAGGATTCTTAGAAGACTGCTAGATATCAACTAAATTCCTATCAGCTGCCACAATTACCATCCTTAATGGCCCTAAAAATGTTGGGGTCTTGCTGTTTTTATGGTAGCTATGGAGAACAATAGCATTTTGCACTTACCTCAGTGATCTTACAGAGATAGCAGGGAAAGAATATGACCAATACATTAGATCTGTGGTAATGGAAATGCACTATTTCTTGATTAAGGGTTTGATACACAGGGCTATACTGGTCATTGAATTGTACACTCAAGATCTGTGAATTTAATGATATGTAAATTTCACCTTGATAAAAAAATTTAGCAAGAAAAATAAAATATTGACTATAAAGTTGATGCACTGGTTATTCTATTTGTGCTTATTTTTTATAATCTTAAGATATTAAAATGTTAATTTTAATAATAAAGATATCATTACTGTACTGTTACTCTCTTGCACTATAATTCTCAAGATTTTTTTGTTTTGTTTTGTTTTTAGTGGGCTCAGGAGCATCAAGAATTTTTTTATGAAATATTTTTATGGCTGTTTCCCATCATGGCTATTTCTCATTCATATAACCTTGTATTTTTCAGGAGATGAGACAAATTCCACCCTAGATTTTTTTGTTCACTATAGTATGATTTATATACAATAAAATGCACAGATTTTATTCAGCTTAATGAGTTCTGACAGTTGTATACACTGATACAACTACCCAAGATATATATTTTGATCATCCCAGAGGGTGCCTTGTGTCCCCTTCCAGTCAATTCCCACTCCCCATCCCAGAGGTGACCACTTTCTAATTACTATAACCATACATAGTTTTGACTATTCTTGAACTTCATATAAAGTACATAACTCTTGTGTTTGGCTTCTTTTGTTTAACATGTTTTTGAGATCATCTACATTGTTGCTTATGTTAGTAATGTGTTCCTTTTTATTGTTGAGTAGTATTCCTTCATGTCAATATACCCAAATTTGCTTTTCATTTTCCTGTTTGTGGACATGTTTGTTGTTTCTAGTTGGGACTATTATGAATTCAGTTGCTAAGAACATTCTTGTACATGTCTTTTGCAAATATATCATTTTATTTCTTTGCAGGTACCTAGGAGTGGAATTACTAAGTTATAGGACAGATAGAGGTTTAATTTTATATATATAAAAACTAAATAGTTCCCCAAAGTGTTTGTACCATTTAAAACCCCCATTAGTATATGTGAATTCCTGCTGCTTCACATCCTCACCAACCTTTAGTGGGTTTTGTTTGCTTTAGCCATACTAGTGAGTTAAAAGCTGTCATTCTTTAGCTATTCTAGTCAGTGGAAGTGGTATCCTTTTGTGGTTTTAATTCGTATTTCTAATGATTAATGACAGTGGGCACATTTTTTGTGTGGGCTAATTATCCATTTAAATGTTTTCTTTTGTGAAATGTCTATTCAAGCTGTTGCACTTTTATTGGATTGTCTGTTTATTGTTTATTTATATATTCTGGATAAAAGCCTTTTGTCAGATACATGCATTGCAAATATTTTCTTCTCAGTCCATGGCTTGCCTATTCATTTTCTTAATGATGTCTTCTGATGAGCAGAAATGTTTAATTTTAATAAAATTCAATTTATCTTTTGTGATAAGGATTTTTTTTGTGTCTTAAGAAATGTTTGCCTAGTCTAA